CTACTTAAAGCGTGATTTAAATAGTTTTATGTTGACACGCTTTCAAAGTGGAGGGGGTCAACCCCTCAATTTCTAAAATAAAATCCATAATTTCTAAAATAATTGCCTATATTTCTAAAATAAAAGATCCTCTCAAAAAAAAGTAGAGAAAGACATGACCCCCTAGCCTCCCCGGCGTTGACGGCAATGTATGCTTAGCTTGAATATACCAACATTTCCTAAGGTATAAACTGCTGCCAAAAAAAAAGTTAAAAAAAAGTGCCAAACCTGCTCAAAGGACTACCAGTTAGTAAAACAAAAACAAAAAAAAAGTATATCTCCTAAAATAAAATCTCCTAAAACATTTTGTATTGACCTCCTTAAATATATTTACTTTTAAAATGAAGTGAAAACTATTTAAACCCTATTTTTTACATTGTATTACCATCAAATATCTAATTGCATTTTAAGAAATGTTTTTTTGATTTTCTCCACCAAAAGATTATTAATAAATAGCTCAATGTGTTCTTTTCATACAAATACTCTATAATACTACTTTTAAAGTTGGTAAAAAAATTCATTATACACGATAAAATATGAATTTCAGCAGCTTAATTTCTAATAACTCAAATGATGTTTCTTTGTACTTAATTTCTAATAACTCAAATGATCTTTCTTTGTACTCTGGATGATTATTATTTTGCTTATACCTCAACCAATGTTGATAAATATCTTGATGAGAAGTTTCGACAGTTTGTTCACTATAGGGCCCCAAGGGGGATCCTTTGTGACTGATGAAATTCTTGGTGTGGTAGAACACGGCGTGAATTTTGGGTGTTACGCTTACACCAGTTATCATTAGGTAACACTTTTTGAAATTTTCAAATTTTCAGCAAAATCCGGCTGAAGGATGAATCCAAAGCAAGCCTTAAAAAATAAATTGAAGCTTTTGAATGCTTCAATTATGCACACAATATTGGGAATCATGTTTGTCTCAGCAAGTTGCTGCAGCATATCCACATTTTTAAGAAGCTTCTTGCATTCATTTCCCTCAAACTGGCCCCCGTGATACGGGCTCAGTTGAATCTGGAGGGCGGCTGGCACTTAACAGCTTCTATCCAAGCAGTTTTAAGGATCTTGAAAAGATTGTTGACAACTCCTAAGAGGAGATGCAATTCCATCGGTCGAATGATTTCCAAAATCAGAACATTGACAGGCCCGCAGATGATTGGCTTTCGAATGATATTGCAAAACAGCATTAGCAACAACCCCACCAGATTGTGTATTTACCATTCTTTTGAGTGAAAGGTTGTTGTTGGTGCGGTGAGCTGGTTTCATCCTTTAACGCAGTATCAACAATGCTTAGACAAAACTTGAGAAAACCTTTGCCACCATCAATTCCGAGCTTAACAAAATAGCCACCAGAAATGTTGCGGGACTGAATAACATGATTTTCAAGACTTGATAAATAATTGCAGTGAGTAACAACATGAACTATACAAGAATCTGTTTTTTTGTCTGTGATTTACATGTCACCGCAGGTGAAGAAATCGCTCAATTGTTGACCTAGTCTTAGAAAATTCATGTAGAAATTTCGCTCTACCATCTTGCTGCGTGATGTTTTGTTTATAGTTTAACAAGTTTCTTTAATCCGTTGTTTGACAGGACCTTCTTTAATTGCACATTTACAAGGGCTACAGTGGTCAATTTTGGATCACTTGATGGTGTCTGCACACTACTTTGACCTAAAACCAAAACATACATATTTTAAAGTTACTATAAACTTTGTTTAGTAAGTTTGTGTAAAACTTTCAAACAATTCGTTTTTAAAGAAATTGGAAACTTGTCAAAAATATAATTCTTGAAATCTATTTAGTGTTATTTCTTAATAGTCAAGACTTTATTTCAATATATATGTTAAAATTATTTAAGTATAAATATTTACCAGGGGTAACTGTAAGTGGAGGCCCGCCGGATGCATTAGCCAGTAGAATAGTTCCTTCCGGAGATAATTCTTTATTGGAAATAACTCGAGATGCGATTTGTTCTGATGATTTGGCATCTTTTGCTGCTAAAGATTGAATGTTTTCCCTTACATTATTTGAGGCATTTCCTGCAACGCACTTTTGGTTTTTTCTCGATAGTGGTTTGCTCTATAAGAAGATGTTTTTCTTGCAGCTTTGAACGACCGATTCGGCATATAAGGCAACAACACATCGTGCCTCTTGTTTCAGGTCTCACTTGTATTGACTTAAAATGAAACAAAGGAGGAAGTGCTACTTCCTTCCCCTCTTGTTTCCTGCGCAAGATAATTTTACACGATTCGCAGAATCCTTTTAGTACCCGAGTATCACTGACATTGATCTTGGTCTTGTACAGTTGGCATATTCGATCTGATTGAAAGGTAGTAAGCTGTCTTAAACATTCTTTTAGACAGAGCAAGCACACAAACATTTCGATTTTCATCATGATTCTTTGCTTGATTTAACATCATGGCAATTCATTAAATTTGACTTCACTAAATCAAACTCTGCCTTTTACAAAATTTGACCTAAATTTATATTTGATAACAATCCACTTAACATAATAACACATATTATTAATTAAAAACTATTAAAATAAAGGAAATATTTACTTTATTTAATTAAGGTAATATTAAATTACAAGGAAATAATTCTCGAATAGTTCTTTCCTTACCAGGAAACAATTGTTCAAACTATTTACTTGTAAGGAAATTACATTATTGATAACTGTCACACTTATTAAACTAATGATACTTGTCACACGGGTTGTTTTATTTCAAAACAACCCTTCAACCTAATTAGTTATTTAGTTAAAGTAATTTTCCTCCGACTGGCCCTCCAAACTTTGTATTGGTAAGATATCTTAGTTAACTTATCTAAATTTTTAAAGTCAATTATCTTTGTCAATATAAAAAATATTTGGTTTTTTTACAGTTGTTCTGTTTTCAGATAAATAAATATATTTATTTCTATGTAGGTATCCTAGAAATCCTTCTTAACCATTTTTTTTGATTTTTTTTGCATTCTGGCAGTAGTTTATACCTAAGGAAATGTTGGTATATTCACGCTATGCATACAAGGCCGTCACGGGAGCCATGGCCTGCCGATTTCTTTTTTGCGAGGACTTTTTGTTTTAGAAATATAGGAAGTTGTTTTAGAAATTATGGATTTTATTTTAGAAATTGAGGGATTGACCCTCTCCACTTTGAAGGCCGTGTCAACGCCATTGGCAATTCAAAAGCCAATTCAAATCACACTTTAAGTAGAAAATCACTATTTTGGTCTATAAAATGAAAACAGTACATGTACCAATAAAATAATTGTAACAAAAATTGTTGGTATTACATAGTAGAACACTCATGTAACCGTTATTTTAAAAATAGTGACCGAATTTTAAAGTAATCGGTAACGCTTTGAGGTATAAGTAGCAAAAAACTAACAAAACTTCAACTAAAACTGCAATAAATCCTACACTAGTTATCCAATTAGCCTGAAATTTTGTCCAGAGTTTGGTGTGACTATTGGCTACATTTGCACCAATTTTTATTAAATTATATTGAGTGGTTCAAATTCTACAAATGTTTTTATTGGCGCACTATGAAGTCAAAATTTGACTTAATTTGAACATTCAAATTAAATTATTTCTCGCGCACAAAATTAAATGATTTCAAAACTTGCATCACAGGGTACCTTGATGTATACGCTAACTTTCCGTATAAATGGCGTTCTTGGGACAGCTAGGTAGGCATTATAAGGATTCGTGCTAACCGCGGATTTTTAAGACAATAAAAACTTGTTAGAAAATGCGCTCGCTCAAAACAGCTTTATTTTTAAAAATCTCTGCAATAAATTTTATCAAATTTAATAATGGCGTACTTACCAGCTTTACGAAGTCGTTTAACTTATTCCTAAAATTTCTCTCGATGCTCTATTGTTTCTTTCGCGTAGTCTTCGTTTATATATAATCCTCATATATATCCTCATATATATCCTCATATAATCCTTATATATAATCCTAAATATAAGTCTCTCTTAATTTTTTTGCGTTGTTAAGAACTTTAGTTTTATCTAGATAATTCAGCAGTTTGAAGATTATTGTTCGTAACTTATCATTTCTTGCATTTGCAATACAATGGGCTCTTTCAATTTCAATATCGTCAGATATGTTAAGTTTATTTTTAATTATTTCTTTTGAGTTTCTATCCCAGCTTTCACCTTTTTTTCCTTTACACCATCAATTCTTAAATTGTTTTTTCGTGAACGATTCTCTAAGTCCACTGTTTTTTTTACTAGGTAATTTATATCATACCCCGAATTTGTTGTAATTTTTTCTATTTTTTTAGTTATATTTTCTTCTTGAAAGTGCAAGCTCTCTTTAATTTCGTAAATTTCTCTTTCAATGATAGCATCTTTTGAGTTGCTTTCTTTGGCTTCATATTCAAGTTTGTCAAGTCTTTTTAAGTTTTCACTTATTATTAATATAAAAATTTGTTCTTGCTCTTTTAATAATTTTCTTGTTTCTGATAGTATAAAAGGTTTATGCTCTTCAAGCTTTTCGATGTTTTTTGATGTTTTTCAACGTTAACTTTTCGATGTTTTTTAACGTTAAATTCATATTTTAATTTTTTGAAACTGGTTGAATTTGTATCTGAATTCAGTTAGGCTGTTTTTGACTGTTACTACTACCCAAGCCTGTTAGTGGTAGACACGGCGACGTACTTACATTGACAGACTGTTAAGTAAAAAGCGCAAAAATGTACTTAGAGCAAAAAATAAGCTTTAAAATAACTTATTACACTATTTTCACTAAATATAATTTTCAAAAAAAAAATAAAAACCTCGTTTAGGCAAGATTTTTATACAGAATTTCAGAATTTTATACAGAAATTCCGCCGCAAAAACTTCAATACGTCGCTATGTTAATTCATTTTTTTCATTAATTATAAAATTATTTATTAATGTATGTTCTACTATATATTTTTTTGTTTTAAAACAGTATAACTTTGTTTTTAACTTTATTTAGATTAAAGGTTTGTCAAGAAAAACCGCCTCTACAATGCGTGTTTTACATTTTCCAAGCGTTAGTTTTTTCCAAACGAAAGCGTTTTCCAAGCTTTAAGAAAGACCATTATTTTGCTAAAATCTCGCTTGAAAACCAAGAAATCTTGCTTGAATAACAAAGAAACGAAAAAACACCGGAAATTATAAAAAACACATTCGATTCGTTCCTTGCATTAAACATCAGGAAGAATGCAAATAAGATTTTAAAATTAAAAGAAAAGTAATAAAGAGGCACTAAAGAATGATCATGTAAAAATGTTAAAATCTGATATATTATTTTTTTTAAAATACTTTTAACATTATATATAAAGTGTTTTATATAAAAATTAACTTCATATTAATAAATTCCTTTCACACAAAGGTTGATCAACCCTAAAGATATATTTCATAAAATTCACTGTTCTTCATTGACAAATTTCCCGACCACCCAAGCGACTGCCACCATCAATCTCCTCAATCTCTACGTTATTAGAATCGCTATCATCTTCATTTTCGTCTAAACACAGATTTTCATCTGTAAGCTCTTTATTGTCAGTTTCTTCGTTCACATCATCATCGCTGTCACTTAAATCATCAGCAAGATCAAGTTGTATTTCTTCATTTTTATTTCCTCTGCGCCATAGAAACACCATGGTTACGACGGCAAGAATATTTGTAAAAGCAAAAAAACTAAATGTGATTGGCCACTGATGCATGTAATACCTAAAAAATACACGATCATAGTTTTAAATGAGCCTAAAAGTAATAAAGATTAAGTTGGTCGTGAAAGATTAAGAAATTAAGAAAAATTAAGTTGGTCGTGAGCCTGTTTTTGAAATTGAAGTACATTTTCAAACTTAAAAGAGGAACCATTTTAAAAACTTTGTAGAGAAAACAAAATGTCAAGTTATGCCACATTACGCATTTCTAAGCAGAAATAAAATTTTTGTTTTTGTAATTAAGTTGTCGCTGACAAAATAGGTGTAACAAATATTTTTACCTTTTTGATATTTAAAGGAGTAATTGTGCTGGGTTTAAAAAAACATTTTTTCATTAAACTGCATGATAAAATATTGTATTTAATTTTAATTAAATGATCGTATATATTAACAACTGAATATAAAAATAAAAAAGTTATTAAAAGGAAGCTTTACCAACTTTAATTGACCTGGACTGTATTTCAGTTAGATTTTCCTCAGAACTGTTTTATATAAAACTTCTGCTACACCTTAAGGTTCATGTGTCATGTATCAACAGCGTAACCGTTACATGCTTCAATGTGCTGAGTTGTTTTGTATTGATTAATTTTTGTTTTTCTTAATCTTATTGTGATAATCAATAATTCTCTTTTCATTATTATTTAGATTATTTTTTGTAATTAGTGAAATAACACAAAACAAATATAATGATATGAAATTATAAATAATTAAATAAAATTTAAAATTTACCTAATACCAGAAAATACTGCTTTGATTCTTAAGCGTGCTGAATAGAACTGTATACGTTTAGAATAAATGGTGATCTTTGCAACTTCTGCTGGTTCATACTAAACAACAAAATATATATATTTTGAAAAATGGTTACCTTTGCAACCTCTATCAGGGTTCATACTCAACAACAAAACCCTTTTTCTATCAAATAAATATTTTTTAATAATAAATTTAAATTTTTAATAATAAATTTTATTTTGATATATATATATATATATATATATATATATATATATATATATATATATATATATATATATATATATATATATATATATATATATATATATATATATATATATATATATATATATATATATATATATATATACTAAATCTGATACTTGTTTATTAATTTATCATATTTAAAAATAAATAAAATAAAATTTTAAGTTACCATTAAAATTTTATATTATTTATTTAATAATTTACATTATTTTAAGAAATATATGTAAAATAAAACTATATAAAATAACAACTTATCAAAGATATTATCATTAGTTCACTTTTTAACTTGTATATTTGTTTTTAATAATACAATTTATAAGAAGAAAAAAAAAAAAAAATAACCCAAGTAAAAAACTATTTTTGAATAAGTAAAGTAAAAAAAAAAGCAACGAAAAATTTAAATTTCTTTTAAATTTTCAAATGTAATGAAAGCTTACCGAAGAGTCAATAAAACTGTCCAAAAGAACCACTTCCATCCATCTTTTTTGTTCTTGAAAACCAAATAACAATGGAAATATAAAGAAGAAAGTGCTTATAATGCTTAACAAGTTACTTTCATATGTAAACAAACTCTAAATGAAATGACTTTTCATATAAATACCTGATTATAAACAAAGAAAAAAAAATTACAAAGTTTTCTCAGGAAGTTTAATTATTTTTCTTTTTGATAAAAGTTAAAAAATTACAAGAAAAAACAGAAAAAAATTTACAGATCTTTCAGAGGAAGCCAAAATTTTCCCATCTTTGTTGAGTATATCTATCTTTGATAAAAACATACCTTTAAAAAAAAAAAATACTAAAAATTTAGTATTAATAAGGATTTTGGCATCTAAGATAAAAAATAAAAATACTTTTGGCTCTTTTGTTTTAAGTTGAAATGGTCAAGTGAATAGACTTAATACCAAAAAATAAAAAAACTTATTTCATAATACAAGATGTGCAATGTTAACTTTCTAATATTAATATTTCTATTACTTTGTTCTTTAATCACACCAGTAACCTAACCAGTATTTAATCGCACCAGTATCTAATCACACCAGTAACCTAACCACGCCAGTATCTAATCACACCAGTAACCTAACCACACCAGTATCTAATCACACCAGTAATCTAATCACACCAGTAACCTAACCACACCAGTATCTAATCGCACCACTATCTAATCACATCAGTATCTAATCACACTGGTATCTTATTTGATTTGAAGTTACAACAATTGCACTAGTATACAATTTGATTCGAAGTTTGAAATCAGAAAATAAAACCCGGCTCATAATAAATTTCATAAATGTAACTGATCTTAAATCAGAATGCAGATGAAATATAATCCAAGCTTCTTTTACTGTTTAGAATAGATAAAAATTTATATTTAATTCTTGTCAAATGCAACTTTATTATCTGCAAAATATTGGTAAGTGTTACAAAAAATGTCAATGTTTACTCTCTACATTGATATAATCTATCCATACCCTAATTTATCAGTCAATGTAAGTATTAAATTACTCTTTCTAATGTGTGCACAGAACTATTAAGAAAACTATTAAAATTGAAAAAAATAAAAAAATTTTTTGAAATATGTTTCTAAGCCCCACCTAAGTAAAGGTAACCTCATCTAAGTGAAAGAAACTTCACCAAAGAGAACCACAACTAAGTGAAAGAAATCCCACCTAAGTAAAAGTAACTTCAACTAAGTGAAGGTAACCTCATTTAAATGAACTTTATTTAAGTAAACCTGAGTAAAAGTTCTTTAATAGTTTAACTTCATAACTTTTAGAATTTTAATGCTAAAAATAATTTCAAGAATTTAAATCGAAACTGAGAAATTCAGAAAAGGAAATAAATGCACACTAAAAAACGTCATATTTTAACAATATAGTTTTTATTAAAAATGGATGTTGTGAATAAATAAATTTTTTTTGCAGTCTTTCTTTTATTATATTATATATAATAATTAAAACATAATAGATAAAATATCTTTTAATATATTTCCATCAAAATTATCTACAAAATATAAAGAAAAATTGAATTGTTAAACAACCAAGAAATGATTTTGAATAAAATTTCCTTCGTGCATTTTTCAAAAAGTAAAAACGCTATAAGAAATGCCAAAGTATAAAACAGAAACAAAGTTGCATATGCTAAGATCAACTTGATTCTCAGCGCAATAACCTTGTTAGTCTTGTTTTGAAGTTACACGGATTGAGAAAATAACAATTTACAAAAAAAGGAGCAGCCTACTTGACTGTAGTGATCCCTGTGACCTTTGGGAGATGAATAAATTAAAACTTTAAAAAAGTAATATCTGTGAACAAATTAAAAAGCACCCCTCACCCAAATTTCTATTCTCTTCAGAGAAGGGCATATCCAGTTGAACATTGATCATATACTCTTGACCTCTGCTAAGGACCTAAAAATCCTTCCCATACAATATTAGAAATTAGAAAATTTTAATATTTAACTTTTTTTTCAGCTTTCTAATTTATTATTTTAATAATTTATAATTAAATAATAAATGCAAAATAATAAAATCAGCTATAACATTTTTATAAAATACTTATATAAAAGAAAGCAAGTAACATAAATGTATAGTTGAATGTTTTATGTTATGGGAATAATCATACAATGTACGCAAAGTTAAATGTTATTGGCAAGATTATAAATCATGTAAAAAAATACTAATAATTACAACATAATAAAATATCGTTTACCTTATGCAAAAGTTCTTATCTTATATCCTTATATAAAAGTGTGGTAGCATACTCTTTAAGTTTGCTACCTTCCTACCTACCTCTTCCCTACCCTAAGAGACCCTGTTTATTTAAATCTAAATACTCCTGTATTTTTAGTTTTTTTTGTTCTTCATATTAATGTTTATGAAAATTACCAAAAAAATTGTTTGGTTAATCTTCGTACACAATGCACACACTTATATATGTATATGTATGATTTATATAACATTGGGAAGTTGTAAAAACGACCATTTTGTAATATTGCAAGCAGATCAATGACATTATAAAGAAATATAACAATAATTAATACTCACTCGTATGGCTTCTTTAGTGGGCTTATAGAAATCATGTAAGGATACGATGGCAGTTGGATAGGAACACACTTGATTTGAGTTTTCACAACTAAAACTATAAAAAAAAAAATGAGTATTCCATTATTTCAAACATAATTAATAGATGAAATAAATTAAAGTAATAGAAAATTATTTAAATATATCTTATAAGAACATTTAAGAAATTATTTTAAAATATTTTATTAGATGTGCTATTTGAATTTGACTAAATTTATTCCAGGTACTACTCAAAAAACAAAAATGTGCAATGCAAAGACATGACTTAAAATAACAAACAATATTATATGAAATTACTATAATACAACTGACATAAATATTAATACAGCAATGTTGATGATGATGATGATGATGATGATGATGATGATGATGATTTTGAACAATTGGTTTAGAATAAATAGAGAGCAAATAAGACCATAAATTAAACAGGCATAAAAATTTACTTGTATTTAAAATGTACAGGCTTAATGTGCTCAGGAGATGGGAGGTAGAGCATGAAGAATGCACCATAGATTACAACAGATATAAAAATGGAGTAAACAAAAAACCAATAAACCTTCCATATAGATACAACAGCTTCATACTGTAAGTTCAGTATTGATGCTAAAAATTTTAACATTTTATTTTCTGAATAAAAAAAGCAAAAAACAAAATATAATAACATGGAATAAGTGAAAAATATAAATACATTGAATAGGTAAAAGGTATAAACACATGAAATAAGTTTAAAATAAATAGCATTAATAACTAAAAAATTTTAAGAAATACATAGTGATTAAAACAGGAGAAAAAATAATAATAAAAACTTTTTTTTAAATATATTTTTATTTTAAAATTGAGCTTTTAAATAATAAAATAGTATGTTATTTCAGCTTTAATTTATCTTGTAAGAATCTATATGAAACATTTTAATATGAAATCAGACAAGAAGATTATATGAACTTAAAGTAAAATCTACAATACTTAAAATACTTACAGTAAAACTCAAAATTAAAAGTTTTGAAAGTAATCAAACTAATATTTACAAACCTTAAGTATTAAAAATGTAAACCTTAGGTGTCAAACTTAAACTTGGAGGTGTAAGTTACAGATTTCAGACCACAGGAATAAAAAAAGTAAATTACTCATTAATTCAAAAAATTCTCAAGTTATATATTAAAAAAAACTACATATTGCATATAACCTGTAAATTCTAGGTGTAAATACAAAATTTAATTCTTAAAAATGTAAAACACACTGCATGCAAGTATTTTCAATCACTTTTTATATAATAGACTAACAATCAAAAACAGAGTAAAAAAAAAATGACGAGAAATATAAAAGTATAACTTTCAACTGATTACAATATTTTTATTTTTGAAATCACTAAAAGTGAAAATAATGCTTCTTATGACATTAATGTTTATTCTTGAAAAATCTTAAATAAACAATACCACCAATAATCGCCAACTCAACAATTATAATAATTACTAAAAGAAGTTTGTTTGTTGCTAACCTAAAACACAAACAATGCAATAGAAAGATTTAAAAAAAATTTATAAACAATGTTAGAATAATTTTAAATATGAAAAATGCAAGTTAAAACTATTTGCATATATATATATATATATATATATATATATATATATATATATATATATATATATATATATATATATATATATAATGCAATAGAAAGATTTAAAAAAAATTTATAAACAATGTTAGAATAATTTTAAATATGAAAAATGCAAGTTAAAACTATTTGCATATATATATATATATATACATATATATATATATATATATATATATATATATATATATATATATATATATATATATATATATATATATATATATATATATATATATATACACGCACATACATATATATATATATAATTTAAATACTATCAACTTCTTATGCTTTTTACCTAACACTTAATGATGCTAATATCCTTCTACTTTTACCCAATTCAGCATCTGTCTTTTCCAGCTATATGCAAAAAAAATTAATATTAAGTTATAACCCTTAAGACTTAGATTCATTATTTCAGAAACTTAAAAAATTTAAGTTACAAACTTTTATAGAAGTACCTGTTTTATCAAAGTACTGTAAAAAAATAAACTAAATTGAAAAAGTTCAAAATAACTAAAACTAAATGACTTCAGGGCAAATGTTAAAAAAAAAACCCTTTTTAAAAATCTCTAAAAAAGTTAGTTACAAAATCTTTAAAATAAATTATGAGAAACTGATTAAAGAGAAATCATAATTGCTAAATAATAAAAAGAGAAAATTGCTTCCATGCTTGCATGGATCACAGCAATCATTTATCTGATCATCAGTCTACAAAAATTTGAATTATTTTTTTTGTCTAAATTTATATATTTTATTAATTATATTTAAATATTTATAAATAAAAATAAAGAAATTAATAATTAGAAAAGAACAAGATAAATGAAAAACAAAAAAAAAATGTTATTTACGGGAAAAATCAAAATGTCCCCATAAATGCCGAAGAGGGGTATAAATATCAGAGTTGTGTATTCATGGTTGCCCAACGGTACCAGACTAACTAAAAAAAACATTTTTTAGTTGCAATTTATAAATTAAGTCGCCCTTTCGGACATCTGTTGATTTTTATTGGCAGTTCTAATTTTTTTTTTCTAATCTAAAATAATAATAAAACTATATTTTTAAAGTCACTGTCAAAGTTTGTTTCCCAAAATTTCTATTACTAATTAGAACTTAAGAAAATTGTTAGAGCGTTTAAACATATTTAAAAAATATGAAAGGAGAGCTTTTAAAACCTCAACTGCATATTGCCTGCCATACAAGGAACTCAAAAATGATTTTCTTACTCAAATGTACTTAAATTTGTCAAAAGCTTTATAACATTTTAACTGATAATACTATTGATTACTTGGAAGCATCAAAATGATCCTTTTACAGTAAGTTTTATCGTCTTCTAAAATGCATTAATTTTTTTTTCATAACTATTTTAAGCAAATTTTTAGCTCTTCCAATTGTCTTGATTTCTCCATCAACCTTTTTGGTATTTTTTTCTAGTAATGTTCTTTCAGATTTTCTTTTTTGAATACTCTTTAAATGAAAGCTTTATTGCATTTAAACATTGGTTGAACAAGTTATACATATTTATTGTCTATAATAAACTTTGTAGCTAAATCTTGTTGTGACTAAGTCAGATATGCGGTAGTGGTGTAGTGGTAGAGCGCTCGCTTCATAAACGAGTGGTTTCGAGTTCGATCCCCACCACGTCCCTGGTAGTACCGCGCTCAACTCGTTTCTCCGCGCAGCGGCCTTGTTCGTCAAGGTTCGTGTTTCGGAGTTATAGAGTTGAGAGAGGGTTATAGCCACAAAATAAGTAGCCTCCTCGTTTGTAGTGGCCTTCTCGGCCTTGAGGAGGTGAAGTAAAATAAAAAAAAAAAAAAAAAAAAAAGATTGTGATGAATTGAGTCGACTATTGATTTTGCCTTCTTTATGAAAATAAATCTTGATTTTCCACCACTTCCTGATATCATTTTACAGTTTTGTTTTCCTTATAAAATTTTATAATAATTCCAACAGTTGATTTTGGAACTTTACATGCTTTTGAAATCATAGAATATGATTTCAGAACAATGGATTTTCTATGTAAAATTTCATATTATTTTTTCGATTTTCGGACTCTTTATTCAACATTGCAAAAACTAATTAGGAATAAACAAAACTACACTCACACACAAGAAAACTAATTATGTTAGCATCATTATAAACAAAAATCATAACAATTAAGTAGTTGTTAAGAAAACTCAATTTAAAATTGTTCAAATTTCAACCGATCATGGTGATAAGCAAATAAAAGATTATGTTAAGTATAAGATTGTTTTAAAAAATAAATTATAAAGAAATATAATCTTTTTCAAGTACCGAATTTAGATTCAATTATCAATTTTTGTTAAATTAGTTTATTTTTAGCACAGTTTAAAAATAAATTTAACTACAAAGCAATACTTTAAAATACTTTTAAAATATCAAAAGTTTTTTGATATTTTAAAAAATATCAAAAAATATTTTTTTTGGCTCTTGTAATAAATAAGATCTTAATTAGAGCTGTGCCGGATTCCGGGAACCAGTGGTAAAAACCGGGTCCGAGACGGGGTGCCCGGCACCGAGTCCATTAAAAAAATAAAGGATAAAAAAAAATTTAATCAAATCAAAAATAATTTAGACCACTTTTTTGCTATTTAATTTTAATTTCTTTTATGATTTTTATTTGTGACAAATGAAAGACGTTATTAGCGTTTGAAATAAGTAATAAGTAGACTATCAAATAGTTTTTCCGACAATAATTGATTAAAAATTTGATTTGAACCGAATTTGGATTTTTAAAAACAGCCAAAATTAAAACTCCTTAAAATGCAATATTTCTTTGTTTTTAGCAGCCATGGCACAGTGGTAAATAGCTTGATTCAGAAACAAAAGGGAAAAGAGATTTTTCAAACTTCATGGGGAAAAAATTTAGTTGAAAATCGTCTATGTTGGTTAAAAGGTTGTTGGTTTAAACATTTATTTATTGTAAAGGATCATTTCTCTCCTGTTCTAAGCAATAAAAAGAAGCAATTACTTGTTATTTTTCTTTCTTTTTCTTTTTTTCGAATTCTCATACTATTTCGTTTTACTTTACGGTTTTTATATCTGTATAAATCAGTTACCTTTTTGCAATATTAGCTGCTATCAACGTTTTCAATATAATATAGCAAAAATATATTTGAAAACGTAATTTAAGTGAGGCACGTTTAGATTTAGTACATAGAAATTATCAACTTCTGAAACTATCAAGAAGTTTATTGGTTGAAGTCCTATTTTTTACCTGGTTAACAATCTTGCTACACAATTTAAAGAAACACTAAAGCAAAGTTTGATTTGTTATTATTATTTATTAGTTGCAGCACTTAAAGGCTATGTCTCTTAAAAGTATTTTCAAAGATACATGGTGCCGGGTACATCAACAAAATGTCTGATTCCGGGTACCCAGTAAAACCACCGAATTACTGGGTTCCCAACCGGGTACCCGGCACATCTCTAATCTTAATAAATACAACACATTAAAAGCAAAGGGTTTTAAAATATTTTTAAATATGCGGTAAATAATGCGGTAAATATTTGTAAATAATGCAGTAGTGGTGTAGTGGTAAGAGCGCTCGCTTTGTAAGCGAGCGGTTCCGAGTTTGACTCCCACCACGTCCCTGGAAGTACCGCGCTCAACTTAATTTCTCCGCGCAGCGGTCTTGCTTGTCAAGGTTCGTGTTTCGGAGTTAAAGAGTTGAGAGAGGGTTGTACCACGATTTACAGCAGGAAAAAAAAAAAAAAAATTAGTAGCCTCCTCGACTGTAGTGGCCCACTCGGGCCTTGGGGAGGTGAATAATTTATTAAAAAAAAAAAAAATTGTTTTTTTATATTTTTCAATAATTTGTTGTAAAAAAGTGCTTAATTCAAGTGAAAAACCTAATAGCATAAGTAAGAAAAGTGAATACATAAACAAATAAAAATAAACATAAACAAATAAAAATAATAATGTAAATAATTTTAATTAAATATAAAAAAAAAAAATTTTTTTTAATTCTCCTAACACAAATATTAACCTTTTAAAAGCAACGCAACGAAATTTAAAACTTTGATCTTTTCTAATATTTCCATTATATTAAGCAAACTCTTTTAAATAAAAAAATTTAATTATCATTTAGTAAAAAACAAACTTTATTCAAATTATCAAAAAGTATTTATTAAATAAGTTTATTGAAATGCATTAGTTGTCGTCGTTGTTTATTATATTAAGAATACAAAGTGTTTTAAAAATATTACATTCATCATTAAAAAAATACTTTTGAAATTAAAGATTTTAATATTCTATGATAATTTATTTAATGGCGTTTTAAAACTTTATTTGAAAACGTTTAGCGTAGTGTAAATAAATTTTATTAGAAAGTTTACATAACAAAAAAAAAAATAAATAAATAAATAACTTGTTATGTTTTCAACTATTATATTTATGCATTCTTCAAAAATTATTAAAAAAAATCGTTTTCGTTGTTATTTATAAAATTAATATAAATGTATGAAGTTTTTAAAAACATTTATATTCATTGTAATAAATACACTTTTTAACGATATCTTTCGATATATTAAATAAATGTTTTTTTATAGGAAACACTCTTTAAAAGCAATTTTTCGCCTAATTACCTTATACTTTATTTAGCGCATTTTTCAAACGTTTTAAAAACTTTAGCCGTGGTTAAGTAGTCACAAAAAAATAATAAATGCACGGTCAGGAAAAGAGTGCGATTGCACGCCTTTCCCGACCACTTCTGGATAAAACCTATCTGTTATTACTGTTAGCAAACAGCTTTAGAACAAGAAGATCGAAATCCATATCGATGATCAGAAAGTAAGTTATTAGATTAAAGATAAGAAATTGTTTGTTAATTAAAGACTCTAAAACCTTGTTTATGGTAGGAAGAAGACTAATGGAACGGTAGTTAGATGAGTCAGATAGCTCTCTACCTGATAAAGAAGAATAAAATAACAGTTTTAGAGAGATCAAATAGGATCTGACACGACTAAGATCAGAAATAAGACATAAACCGAGTAGAGAATGTAAATGATTCAGATTGTCTGGAAAGCAAGAAAGTTGACTATTTGTGTTAAAGATTGAGAAAGGCAAAACTTGTGAGACTTTATGCCTGCAGAGTTACTGACACTAGAGCCAAGCCATTCATAGTGATGAGCATTAAAGTCACCAACAACAATAGTAGCTGAAAGATAAAAAGAAAGAGCTCGGTCAATTCAATTAGAAATAACATCAAAAAAAGAACAGTCTTGAGATGAAGGAGAGCGATATGGAACAAAGAAAAAAACAATAGAGTGAAGTAGCGCTAAAAAAAAGCACATTAAAAAATAGTCTGTAGATTGAAACCTAGTTTCCTGACAAATGGGTAAATTCTTACAAATGTAGATGCCCAGGCCAAGCATGTGACTATTGGAGTATTTAAAGGAATATAACCACCAATACTAAGATCACAACATGAGAAAGCTAAACTCAAATTGATCTCACAAAGAGTAAGTAGGTCTAGTGAACTTTGCGAGATAAGACTCAACAGAAGAAAAGTTACTTCAAAGACCACGAATATTAGAGAATCATAGGTTTAGAGAACTTGGCAATGACAATGGTTTTTTGTGTTTTATAGTTTTTGGTACTTTAGTCATTTTTAAATTTGTTACTTAGAACTTGACTCAAAGCATAGACAGTACTCAGCACACTATTAACAAAGTAACAAAGAGCTCCAAACGTGACCTCAAAAATTCACACCAAAAATACGAACAGGGATACCATTCATGCGCAACATGACACTGTAAGTACTCTAATATTTTACAGCTGTTGATGGAATCAACCTCTCTAAGAGCTACCATAGAGTTTGGGAAACCTAACTACCAGCCGGCCTCAGAACTACAAAACTGAGTCTCAGTGCTTTACCACTTATTAGGAGATAATAGAATGAGTTGCCTAGTCATAAAATAGAGACACCCATGTATTGAGTCAAGAGGGTTAGGCATTCAACAACCTAAACTGAAAATAATGTGTTATAAATACATCTACACCAGCCTAATAGATGAAGGGTACAAGGCTGGTTAAAAGATAGAATCTTTTTAACCATTACGCCTTTGCCTAGGAGGCCTTCTACAAGACAGTAGCAGGGCACATTTAACATCTGTCCATAATGAGTATTTTTATCGAGACACCATCTCTAGTCTTTACTCAACCAAGGGCCTGTAGGCAGGAGGTGTTTTAAGTAAGAGTTGGCTTCTTCTAGCCTTTGCCTAAAAAAGCATATCCTACAAAGTAGCAGAACATGAAACAGGTTTTATTACTATTAAAATTATTGTAAAAATGATTAATGGAAAATAAATAGCTTGTTATTGACGTTAATTGTCAATAAAAACTAACTAGATGAAAAACACACTTTCAACAAGAACATTCTCATGAACATATTCAACCTGTAATATAACTTAGCAATATGATTAGTGTTATAGCAGGTAATTAAGAGTAGAAAGTGGGAACAGTATATCTGTCTTACTACTAAACAAAAGAATTTTTTTGCTTGCTTTATTTTGAAATTTTTAATAAGTAAAACCTAAGAAAGTTTTTAAATGATACAAAATGTTAAGTTTAGCAACAAAATTTTAAAACAAACAGAAAACAATAACACAATCTCACTTTATCACGAGTTCGCAAGAGTGCTTCTCTTTGAGTATCTAAATCACTAATTATTCCAACCCCAAGTTCATCTGCAAAGAAGAAATATAACTTTGATAACTTCAAAATTTATTTTCTAAATTTCCACAAACAAAATTAAATAATTTAAATAATATAAAAAATGTTGTTCACTGTTTCCCAGATACCTGTTTCAGCAGCAATTATTTGCGACCTTACTATACTTTCTGTACCACGATCCAAACTTTCAAAACCTTTAATTATTTGCTTTTTCTGAGCATTCTATAAAATAAAACATTTTAATCATTCTATAAAATAAAATATTCTCATCATTCTGTAAAATAAAAAAAACAAATGTAACGTTATGACTATGCATTTAATATACATCTTTACTTATAAAAAAAAAAAACATACAAAAAGTTCCTTAACAAAAACTATAAAGACCTGCCTTTGGTTCATCATCCTCAAATCCTGAAAATGTATCTTTATCACTTGAAGTAAGCCTAGCCTAAAATTTAAAATTTTTGCTAAGAATTGTGGAGTTAAGAATTATTCTTTTATTTTGAAACATGTTTCAGTGTTTCAAAAATTCAAAACTTTTAAAATACTTGAACGTAAACTTAAAATGTATTTAATGCTAACACTTTACAAATTACATTTCATTCCTGATTTAACCTGATAAAGAAAAAACAAATTATATTTTTTCCTGATTTAATCTGATAAAGAAAAAAAACTTCTCGATAAAAAAAAAAGAACTTTCTCACCAATTCTTTACGACATTTTTTAAGTTGCATTTCAAAATCTCTTGTCTTTGACAAAAAACTTATTCTGTATGCACCAGGCGCATTTTGGGCTTCTTCCTGCATGCGTGAAAGCTAAAAAAATTCATATAATTTATATTTACTAAATGAAACTTAAGCAGATAATAAGTTTATCATGCATTATATAGCAACCATGATGTAATATGTATTTTATAAAAAATAAAAATACCTGAACACCTGCATTATCTATTCCTTTTTCTATATTTCTCAGTTCACTTTTTTTTGATTCTAAAAATATAAAATAATGCATTTATGTATGTATGTATGTATGTATGTATGTATGTATGTATGTATGTATGTATGTATGTATGTATGTATGTATGTATGTATGTATGTATGTGTGTATGTATGTATGTATGTATGTATGTGTGTATGTATGCATATCAGAGGTGGAACTTCCAGCTATAAAAATATACGATATGGTAACAAACCATACAACCCATAGTAAAAAACCGGATTGTATATTTCTTACTATTCATCCACTATAATAATCAGTAGTCTGGTATTTTTAATTTTTTGTAGTGTTGCTTTGACTTTTAAATAATTTGACTGTCAACTAAACAAAGTAACATAATCTCCTATATATCAACAAAAATCGACAGAAAATTGACTAATACGTTTTTGAAATCAACTACGAGCCTAAGGGTCGACTAAGAGCCAATTTAGTTTACCTATGAAGAAATTTTTTTTGAAATAAATTGTAATAAAAACATTAATTTAATTTTGATTTTACTTTTTATTTTTTTACATCATATAAATAATAGTAATATATTCAATATGTGCAATTGCACTCTGTAACTGACCACGCTAATATTTTTTCTTTACAACTTGACCACAGCTATTTTGATGTTTTAACAATTTAAATGCAATAAAAAAAAGTGTTACGTTATGAGTTATTCATAATATGAGTTATTTAATCATTGATCTTTTCTAAAGTTTTTATTTTATGTGAAGGCTTTAAATAAAACCATAAAAATTAATTATAATGATTGTTTACATAAACGCATGTGTAAATTAAAAAAATAATGTTATACATAAATTTTTTTCTATGTAGGCATGTACTTTTTATGATAAATTTAAATGTTTGAAACTATTTTTCCTTATTTTCTTAAAAATCTTTAAAACCATGATTATTAGAAAAAAATTTACTTAAATATATGAAAAAGTTCAAAACCTTTTGAGACTACTAGCTTTTACACATTTTATGTGTATTATAACAAGAATATAAAATATCTTTATTTACTTATATAAGAATGTATTTTGTTGATTAATGGAAAAGTTTTGAAGCATTTTGTAATATTCATGTGATTAATTTTTATAATTAAACTTACATTTTTTAAAATCATTTAAACAAACATTTTATTTTTTGAAAAAAAACTTTTTTTTCAATCACAATAGAAATAAATGAGTTAAATTGTTATAAAGTAATTTTTAAATTCGTTACATGAAGCACTTATTAATAAAGTTGTAAAGCTCAAATTAAAATTAAATTAAATTGCTTGTTGGCAGTTTATTTTATTTAAATCGCAGGCACATTTTCTTTTATTTTTTTCTTTCCATTTTTATGAATAAAAAAGTTAAAAACCATTTTTTTAACTAGACTTACTAATTAGAGCATGAAATTATTAAATCGGTCGTTATTTCAAGTGCTGAATGATACAAAAATGTAATGTCTAATGTAAGTGCTACTTGCAAAATAGCACTTGTATCTTCCTCTGGACATCATTTAGAAATGGTTTCTTGGCGGGTGTTCTTTGACATAGCTGGAAGTCATCCATGAGTCATTGACTACTGGTACAAGCACTAAATGCAATAAGCAGGGATGCAGCAATTTCAGATGACAGAGCAAATGGATTGGTAACTATTGCATGTTCAATGGCATTGTCATAGTGTCTGCTGGTCTTCCTGTGCCTTCCTGAGCCTCTTCTGCAGTTGCTACTACTTGTTTCTCTGAACCTCTCTACAATATGGCCCACTGAAGGTTTATGAATATACGTTTTCTCAGCAATATTCTGATATGACATGCCATCATTGCATAGGCAATAACAACAGATGTTTTTCTTGGAATAATGTCATTCGTTTTACCCATTTAAATGTAAATAAACTAATAAATAATAATATTGACTAGAATAGAGTTTAATAGAATATGCAATAAGTCACTAGCACAAAAAATGATAAAAAGCAAAAATATGAGTGAAAACAAATGTTCATTCTCCTTAAAAACAGTATACCGGTGACTTAATAATTATTAATTTACCAAGGCCTAATATAGTTAGAATAATAAAAGAAGTTTTTATTGTCCTCTCTACTTTTTTGGCCATGACTATAGTTAGTGGCAGACAAAAATGAGTTCCAGATTTTATAAGAGCTCAGGAGACTGATTGAAATTGAATAATATGTTCGTTTACATTTGCTGTTTAGAGAGTTGCTATATTTTGTATATGGTCTTTATAATCCAGGGCGCAATAAATCGACGAACGTGCGAACATTTGTTAAAAAAAAGACAGAAAAACGAACGCCACGTTTCCTTACTTTTACTTAAGCAAACGTTGGCGTTCGCTTAAATTTTTTAAAAACGATCGCATATCTTCAGCAATTTTATATTTCTAAATAATTATGCAATTGATAGTTTTTTATTTATTATAAAAAAAACATAATTAATATTAAAAAAACAAGTTACTAAAATTTAAAACGCAGTTTCAATGAAATTAAAAGAAACCGTGCTAATACTTTCTTCAATAGCGTTTCTTTTAAGTATGCAACTGTAGAAAAAATTATATTTAGCATGGTTTTTACATGTGTTTACAAAAGAATGGCAAGTTTAACTTAAAATAAATGCATTTGCAATTACTTCAAACGGAACCATGCTGAAACATTCTTTTTTCAAAAGCGTTTTTAAATTTTCTTACCTTTAAATTAATGTTTACTTGCTGTTTTTAAAGTTTTAAAAAAGTTTTGCAGAAATATATATAATTTAATAGAATTTATAGAACTATTATGTTGATTATAGTTTTCATTTTTTACTGTGCATTTAACAACAACCAAAAATATGATATTTTTTTATTAAATACTTAATATTATAAATATAATAATAGCATATCAGGTATTTAATAATAACTTATTAAATTGTAAATTTAATAACTTATTAAATGCTTAATACTATTATTTTTAAATATTAAAAAAAAATGTCAAAACAATTTTTATTTTATTTTTATATAGTTCCCTTTTATTTAAATTTCATCAAGTTTATATCTTATTTTTATAATTTAACAAACTAAATTGAGAAAAATTCACTATTTTGTATTAATAGATAACAGTTTACAGTCAAAAGGTTATTGCATATTAGTTATCATTAATTTGCAAATGCGTAAAAAAATTGTTTTAAATTAATAAAAAATTAATAAAATTCTTTAAGTATCTAATTATTATATATCTTATTAACTAGAATAAAAGGGGTACATATTTGATAACTCTTAAATTAGACATTAGTCAATAAATAAAGAAACAAATATCAACATTTATTAAAAAAAATGATTTGTTCTGCCCTGTAATCCCATATGAATCCAAGATGCTATAGTTTATTTTTGAGATGTAGGAAAGAACATTTAATTTGAGTTGTGTTTTTTGTAATTGAACTTTTACCTGAGATATTCAACTGTTTTTCAGTTTTTTAAGTGTTTTTTCAGTTTGATATAAAGTGCTTAGTTTGATATGAAGTGCTTAGTTTGATATAAAGTGCTTAGTTTGATAAAAAGTGCTTAGTTTGATATAAAGTGCTTAGTTTGATATAAATTTGCATAGGGCTTAACTTTATTAATTAATTCTTGTAGTCCAGAAAGAGTAGGTCCCTTGGAATAAGTCAGCATTTGGTAATCCCAACCTAACTGCCGACCTGAAAGTGTTTAAAGGGGGGATCCCTTTAAACACTTAAGTGTTCCTAACATATGATCTCATATTAAAGAGCATAAAAAAAATATATGTAAGTTTTTTTTCTTTTTCACTAAATTGTAATAATAAATGCATGCTAACAAAAAGCAATTGATGAAATCACTGAAAAACAACTCCATTTTGATTTTATTTTTTTACCATTGAAACTAAATTGTTAGTTGTTAAAAATCACCTTAGTACGTCACAACAACTTTAGAATATCTACTTCGATTTTCAAGTAAAAAAAAGTCTTGATTAAATAGTTAAGTTTTAATCATGTTTTTTTAATTAGTTTTGCAAAAATAGTATAATAGAATTCGGTTGAAAGACATCGTTAAAAAAAAGTTATTAAATAATAATTTTAAATAGTTTAGAACTTATAAAGAAGTCTTACAGCACTCGTATTAGGCGTATGGCAATCACAATTGCTTTTCACACAATTTAGCGATTAATTTTTTCTTTAAAAAAATCTTTTCGCGATTTGTTTTGGTTATTTAATTACTTTTTTCTAGCTTAGCATTTTTTTTAGCAATTCATTAAAAGTGATGTTTTTATCATAAAGAACGTCACACAAAATTTATTATGCTGAATAGATAGATGAATAGATGATTTGCTCTTTCGGACGGAGATTTTCTTTCAACGTAAAACATTTTTGAATTTAAATTACTTTAAATCTCTGCATGGAAAATTTTAAAAGGTCGTTAAAGTGAAAAGTTGAAAACGGAAAAGACGTTAATTTGAATTTTTTCTTCATTTTAACAAAACAGCCTGGTTTTTATCTTTGTTTATCAAAACTTCATGTTTAAAATAAGGCTTAAAAACGTTAGAGCAAAAAAATTGCTGACTTTTATTTGCATTTTTATACTGTTTGAAAAAAAAACTAATAAAAAAGAAATAATTATTATTATTAATTCTAATAATTATTGTTTAATATATTATTAGTTAATTCTTTTTTATTAGTATTTTTTTCAAACAGAATAAAAATGCTAACAAAAACCAGCAAATTTTTTTACTTTTTTTTTTTTTTTTTTAATTATCTTCGCTTCCAACAAGGTTGCAAGCAACCACTAATTAGTGTTGGAAGTTACTGGAAGAGAAAAGATGAAGATTGTAGAGCAAGATAACAATTGACAGACGACTTAAAATATTGCAAATTATATGAATCAGAAAAGCAAGATGAAGGAATCGAATTCCAAAGAACTGATGTTCGAGGAAAAAAACTAGACGAATAAGAGTTTTTGGAGCACTTAGGAACAGTAACAGAAAAAGGATGAGACTTAATTGAATGACGAGTAACACGA